AATTGTATGTTACTTTTTTTCGAGTCACCCATCCTGATAGTATGATAGTTTTAACTTTAGACGATGATGGATAAAGTTCCGTTACTACTACCAATGTCGTCTAGCTATAAAGAGATTTTCAATAATGTATAATTTAAGCCATTGATATTATGTTTTTTTTATATACAAAAATGACAAAATTGCTATATAGCTGATCTACATAGAAAATATATCTTCCGTATAAATAATTTATATAACTGAGTTGCTAGACAATGAGTTAATTAGCCCAATTAATACAAATTATAAACACTGATATATAAAATCTCTAAAGTTGCAACACCGAATGCGTATATCTACACGTTAGCTATTAATTGGGCAATTATTTATGTTGGAAAAAATAGCTTAAAATGGCATAAAATGGCATGTTAAGTGGCTATTTTGTGGTACAATTATCAGTGGGGTCCACTTCTGATTTGGGTCGGGTTAAAGTGGATTCGGATTCTTCGTAGTGAGACGAAGAGATCGATATATTGTACGCTCAAAACGGATAATGGGTGAATGAGATATTGATTCTCAAAGTAGACTCATTTGAGTTGGAAAATGAAGGGAAAAAAGTGAGCTTTTGTCCCACATTGCTTTGGAATGAAGATTTTCCCCCCTCATATACAAGAGCTCTTTTGAAGCTTGTAGAATTGTATACCATAGAGGCTCTCTCTCGCGCGCGCGCGAGCGGGGGGGTGGGGTGCAAATCAAATTCCAACTAGCAGAGATTGAAAAAGGCTTGACACAAGCCCGAGCTCGTGTGCGCCGGCACCTGCGGGCACGAATGTCGTCCGGAAATTGGCTGGCCTTGCGGGCTAAGTTATGCCAAACTCCGGAACAATTTTCCAACATAATGCCACTAGGTTGGCCGAAACAGGAGCAGTTTCGGCCAAACTGCCATCCAAGTTTCGGCCATGGGCCGAAACTTGTAGTTTCAGCATGGGCCGAAACTTGAAGTTTCGGCCATGGGCCGAAACTGTGGTCTCGGCCAAAGGAGGCCGAGACGAGACAAGGCACCAAGGCCGAAACTTCCAGTTTCGGCCTGATGGTCGAAACTGGAAGTTTCGGCCTACACGAACCTGTACTGCTTTCTGTGACCGTTGGGTTCAATTCTTACTGTTACGGAATTCATTCTTGAATTAATTCCAATCTTTATTTTTGAATTGAAACTCATGGTAAATGTTGCTGTTACAAGGTGTAGTGGGGGGGGGGGGTGCCTTAAAGTGCCTCATTAAAAGCTATTGGCTCCTTCACCCCTATATAAGAGAGGTAGTGAGAAGCAGATTTTCACTACACTACAGCACTATCACTGTACACGAAACATTGTTTTCCAGCCTCAAAATTCTGCTTCTACTCCTTTTCTTTGCCTACTGTGTTCATAACCACGTCTTGCTCGCCAGATTCTTTGTTTGAATGCTCAAACACTGAATCATAGCAAGTTTTATCCTGGGAAGCCTAGGCCACAACGCTCCTAGCATCTTTGGGAGGTGGCAAATAAGGTTTTAAGGAAAGAGTGCTCACTCGACTCTTGCAAAAACCCAACACCAAACACTAGCCACTTTTCTTCATCTTTTCTTCCCTTCTTTCCAGAAAATAATAGTCAATTTTATTTGATTATTATTTGTTTTCCTACCAACGGTACCAACAGTCTTAAAACCTTACATATTTGTTTTCCCGTTGGTGGTCTTCTCCGAATTTCCTTGAAGAAAATGGAGCATCCCGTACTGCCAATTGATGGGGAGGATAATGTTGTTGCGGACAACAATGGAAGAAACGGCAACAATAACGTTGTTGCGGATAACAGTGGAGGGAATGGCAACAATGTTGCTAATTCCCAAGCTACACCAGTGAACGTTGGTTCACAAGATGGTGGGAGCACTGAGGGATATATTCCCATGTCTCGGGTACCTTCGGTACCGAGTGGTTCGGCTGAAAAGCCGGAGAAGTTCACCGGTGTTGGTTCGAACTTCAAGAGGTGGCAACAGAAGATGTTGTTCTACCTAGCAACTCTCGGCCTGGCAAGGTTCTTGTCCGAGAGTGTTCCCGAGTTGAAGGAACAAGATGCACAATCCGTGATGGCAGTTGGCTATTGGAAGGATTCGGACTTCCTTTGCCGAAACTACATCCTGAATGGATTGTGTGACACGCTATACGATGTATATCGAAAGATAAGCACATCAAAAGCGTTGTGGGAAGCTTTGGATCATAAATACCGAAGTGAGGATGCCGGCTCAAAGAAATTTGTAGTTGGCCGATTCCTCGACTTCAAAATGGTTGATTCAAAGACCGTGCTAAGTCAGGTAGAAGATTTGCAATTAATCTTTGATGAGATCCGTGACGACGGCATAGTGCTAAGTGAAGCCTTCCAAGTGGGATCTGTGATCCATTTGTTGCCTCCAGGGTGGAAGGACTTCAAGAACTACCTTAAGCATAAGCGAAAGGAGATGAATCTGGAGGACATGATCCAGCGACTCAGGATTGAGGAAGGGAACAGGACGAATGATAGGAAGGCTCCTATCGTTGTTGGCGCTAAGGCCAACGTTGTGGAGCACGGTAAGAGCTCCAAGAGGAACAAGAAGGACAAGCGAAAGCTAGGTCCGAAAGGTGGCGTTACCAAGAACAAGTTTCCTGGTGAATGCTACAATTGTGGCAAGCATGGCCACAGAGCATCTGAATGCAAGGCTCCAAGGAAGAATAACAAGAGTTCTGAAGCCAATGTTGTTGGAGATAGCAATCAGAAAGAGGTCGAGATTAGCCTTTCGGCTATGGTGACCGAGGTGAATCTCGTGGGCTCAAACCCTCGTGAGTGGTTCATTGATACCGGTGCAACCAGGCACTTGTGTTGCAACTGAGAGATGTTCAACACCTTTGAGACCGTTGAGGGTGAAAAGGTGTGGATGGGAAACTCTGCTCAGTCTGCTGTGGAAGGCATGGGCAAGGTGGTTCTGAAGATGACTTCCGGGAAGGAACTAACGTTGAACAACGTGCTGTATGTTCCTGAGCTGAGGAAGAATCTTGTGTCTGGCTCTCTGTTGAACAAGCATGGCTTTCGCATGGTGTTCGAGTCAGAAAAAGTAGCTTTGTCCAAGTTAGGGATGTTTGTTGGTAAAGGATATGTAACTGATGGGCTGTTTAAGCTCAATGTAATTCCTGTTATCAATAAAAGCAAAGTTAATTCTGTTTACTTGCTTGAGTCTTCCAGTTTGTGGTATGGTAGACTAGGTCATGTTAATTTTAATTCTATGCGTAGATTAATTAGCATGGACCATATTCCTAACTTTCAAATTGACACAAATAACAAGTGTGAAATTTGTGTTGAGGCAAAACTAACGAAAGTACCTTTCAAATCGGTTGAAAGGGAAACTGAACCACTAGAGTTAATCCATAGTGATTTGTGCGATTTTAGATCGATACAAACGAGAGGTGGTAATAAGTATTTTATCACATTTATCGACGATAGCACACGATACTGCTATGTGTATTTGCTTAAGAGCAAAGATGAAGCCGTTGATAAATTCGTTCTTTATAAGAATGAAGTGGAAAACCAACTTAATCGGAGAATTAAGAAGGTTAGAAGCGATCGAGGTGGTGAGTACGAAGCACCTATTGGTGACTTCTGTGCGAGTGTAGGAATAATACACGAGCGTACTGCACCTTACTCACCTCAATCGAACGGTGTTGCCGAACGAAAGAATCGTACATTGAAAGACATGACGAATGCGATGCTTATAAGTTCGGGCCTACCTCAAGATGCTTGGGGTGAGGCGATTTTGACAAGTAACTACCTTTTGAATAAGGTACCCCGAAAGAAGCTCGAGATTGAAAAAGGCTTGACACAAGCCCGAGGTCGTGTGCGCCGGGGGGGGGGGGGGGGGGGGGTGCAAATCAAATTCCAACTAGCAGAGATTGAAAAAGGCTTGACACAAGCCCGAGCTCGTGTGCGCCGGCACCTGCGGGCACGAATGTCGTCCGGAAATTGGCTGGCCTTGCGGGCTAAGTTATGCCAAACTTCGGAACAATTTTCCAACACAATGCCACTAGGTTGGCCGAAACTGCGGCAGTTTCGGCCAAACTGCCATCCAAGTTTCGGCCATGGGCCGAAACTGTGGTCTCGGCCAAAGGAGGCCGAGACGAGACAAGGCACCAAGGCCGAAACTTCCAGTTTCGGCCTGATGGTCGAAACTGGAAGTTTCGGCCTACACGAACCTGTACTGCTTTCTGTGACCGTTGGGTTCAATTCTTACTGTTACGGAATTAATTCTTGAATTAATTCCAATCTTTATTTTTGAATTGAAACCCATGGTAAATGTTGCTGTTACAAGGTGTAGTGGGGGGGGTGCCTTAAAGTGCCTCATTAAAAGCTATTGGCTCCTTCACCCCTATATAAGAGAGGTAGTGAGAAGCAGATTTTCACTACACTACAGCACTATCACTGTACACGAAACATTGTTTTCCAGCCTCAAAATTCTGCTTCTACTCCTTTTCTTTGCCTACTGTGTTCATAACCACGTCTTGCTCGCCGGATTCTTTGTTTGAATGCTCAAACACTGAATCATAGCAAGTTTTATCCTGGGAAGCCTAGGCCACAACGCTCCTAGCATCTTTGGGAGGTGGCAAATAAGGTTTTAAGGAAAGAGTGCTCACTCGACTCTTGCAAAAACCCAACACCAAACACTAGCCACTTTTCTTCATCTTTTCTTCCCTTCTTTCCAGAAAATAATAGTCAATTTTATTTGATTATTATTTGTTTTCCTACCAACGGTACCAACAATTTATTCAAATTCAAGCATTGATAACATCAGAAAACGTAATCGGTGCAACTCAATTCTTCAATTATATTATATAATATTCGATTTTATAATTTATACAATTGTATATCGATATAAATATTTTTAAAATTTTATAACAAATTCATTCCGTGCAACGCACGGACGCAAATACTAGTAATTAAAAAGAGAAAATACATTATCAAAGACTAATAGAAGAGAACTAATAATGCATATATAGGGCACAAAAACACTAATCACAAAAGTTTCCATGAATATAAAAGTAGATAGATACACATATATACTTTGTACATATTGACATATACATATACATTAATACAAATATATAGAGATCGAGCGAGAGAGATGCTTTAATATTGGAGTTGTGCAGCATGGTGTTTGGTGATGGATGGGCAATTGGGCATGTAGATAGAAAGATGAATCCTGAGATCAGTGTGGTTGAACCATACAAAAATTTCTCCAGAATGGTCGCTGTGGCTTCCGGTTATTGGGCTCAGATATAAACTCCGACGACTCTGTTCTCCTCAACATCTCCCACATCACCTGAACATCCTCGTACCCACATGTTTGTATATCGTCGTGCAGCTTCAAAAGCCCTCCACCTACATACGCCACCCACCACACAAATCATTCTCACAATTTCATCATCAACCATATTTTAGCCTTTCCTCCTCTCCTTATCCTACTCTACCATCCTAATAATCAATAATATTATAGTCAGCCTGCTCGAGTTTAGCTCACTGATTCGGTAGACAATATTTCGAATAAGAGACCAAAGTTCGTATAGTGAAATTTATATTCAAAATGAACAGTTTCTGTCAGTTGAATCATAAGTTACCTTGCTTTATTTGACCCTTAGGTTTTGGAGATTCAAACTTTTAAAAAAATAATAATATTATACTCTGTTTTATGGATTACCGAATACGTATTTAGTAGATGAAATGTCATATTTAGCTTTTCCATTTTATGAAGGATTATTCAACGCTGTAATTTGTCTTGCTAAGAAATAAATTAGGAAAGAATGAAATAAATTAGGAAAGAATGCTAACTACGTCCAACCAAACACCCCATTAATTTCTGATTATAATTATGTGACCTAAAACAAAAAATTATTTTCTCTACTTAACAATATTTGAAGTGTAAAACTGCACTATATTTTGGTTTAGGAGATTTATTTAGAATCTCGATTACTTGCCAAGTTGAAATTCAATTCAATTATTATAATAATTATTTAAAAATCAGTTTATTTTTTATTTTATTATAAAGAAAGGGATACCCAATATACACAATATTTGCCTTAAGAGAGATTCAAACCTTTTACCTCCCACTTAAGGAAAACAAATGAGTACCAGTGGACCACAAACCACTTAACCACTTGATAAAAAATCGGTTTATTTACTATTTTGATCGATTCTTAACCACTCCGTCACACTATAAGTTCGGGATATCTAAACAATTTTTAAGGAAATATACTTGATAAGAATAACAAATCTTGTTTAACACTGTATTTAAATTGATTAACTGTCAAATCTAAACTTCTAAATTTGACGATTAAACTTTAAATATCTCAATTAGTTTTTTAAACAAAAATAGTGTTTTCTTTTCTTTTTTTCTTTTTTTTTTTTTTTTTTTTTTTTGGTTTAAGTGAAAATCATAGCCTTACCTAAATGTGTGGTCTGGGTGAAGCCCAACCCTACCAATCGTTATGCTATGAAACTGTGTCCACCTTGCAAGGTTGATAAAGTTTTATGTTCATAATTACTTAACTATATGTTCATAATTATAAAGTTATATATTCATAATATTCGAACTTCATATTCATAATTATTGAACTCTATATTCACAATTACAGAACTCTATGTTAAGAATTACTGAACTATATATTTATAATTATAAAGCTATATATTCATAATTTTTAAAGTTTGTATTCACAATTATTGAATCTCTATATTCATAATTACAAAACTATATGTTCATAATTATGTTCACAACTCTATGTTCATAATTATAAAACTATATGTTCATAATTTTTAAACTATATATTCATAATTGTGAACAGTTTTGGAATCGTATCCACCTTCACCTTGCAAGGTGGATACGGTTCCACAACATAATTTACCCCACCCTACTTAGCTGATAAAAGATAAATCAATCTAAATTGTCCGTAGTTAACCCGATCAAATCAATAAAACTTTAAAACTTTATAATTATCAAGTTAACTGTTCAATCAACTTGAGTGGACTTGTACAAATCAAAATAATTTGAACATGTTGAAAGATAACTTCAGGTTCAATGGAATCAAAAGTTCAAGCCCCCTTTATTCTACCATCCATCAGATAAGGCTCTGTTTGGGAGATGGAAATCATTTTACTTTCCCTAAAAATATGCTTTACTTAATTACTTGGACCAATCACCATATATATACGCCTTTTTCTGCCCCTCCCCCTCATATTACACTAGTAATTAACATATTTTTTTTTTTTAAACAGTAATTAACATATTAATCGTGATTATATTAAATATTTAATTACATTTATATTAAATATTTTATATTTATAATAATACTCAATTAAAAGTAAATATTGTTTTATTTTTTAATTTAATATTCAAGTTAAAGAATTGAACCCCCAAAAAACCAGTTAAAAAATACTACCCCGAGTAATTAGAATTTTAAATAAAATTACTCTTTTGCCCAAAAAATTTTTTTAAAAAAAATTTAAAAAATCCAGTGAGAAAAGGGGAGAGAGAGAGAGAGAAAAAAAAAAAAAAAAAAAAAAAAAAAAAAAAAAAAAAAAAAAAAAAAAAAACCTTGATTGCGAGCCTTAACGCGAGCTGAGACGGCGAACCAGACTCTTCTGACCGGAAAAACCAGCTTCCGCCACCAACGGCCCATCACTTTTATCCTCAGCAGCCTCTTCCGCCGCCACCGCCGCCTCCTACATACTCCTATTCTACTCAGTATCGCCTTCAACCTTAACCCGGCCAGACCTCCTCCTTCTTAATCCGATCTTCTCTCCGACGATTCAATTCTCCGACTCTCCGGCGGCGATTCACCTCGATCGCCGTTCTACGATTTCAATTCTGAGAATGCATGCGGCGCCAACACATCAGATCGGCAGATTATGTAACCAAAACCGAGAACGCGTACATCAATAGACTATTTGGGAGTATATTGCTCTCTGTGTTCTTCTTCTGGCGAGAGAGAGAGAGAGTATTTACTAGCTAGTACATTTACGTTATATTATATAATAGTGTATGATGAGAAAATAAGTTTGGACCGTTGGCTTATGCATTACACTTCTCTATTTAAAAAACATTGTATCCAATTCAATATCTTGTTTGTCAACGCAATCTAATTGCAACTTAAACGAAAAAACTTTATAAAGGAAATTTTATAATAACATAACGTTTTAAAAGTAGTACATATGTTATGTTTGGAAAACCTATATTGAAAGGATGTCAATTATTTAAAAAATACAATAAATGTGAATGAAGGTTGTCAGTTTTTTCCGTTAAGTTTTTTATTTTTATATATTATGCTATAAATTAAAGGTTGTACTTTATAAAATTTTGAACAAATATATATGCACATGTATCCATCATACATTTTCTTATCTTCTTCAGTAATAATAATATTTATAAGTTATAATTTGGAGTTATTTTATACAATATAAATATCAAATGCATAAAAATGTTTACATCATTATTATTATTATTATTATTATTATTATTATTATTATTATTATTATTTATAATAATTTAAATATCAAAAATCTTAATATAAAATAATAATATTGGGCACCTAATTTTTGCGCATCGCACATGAGAAAATACTAGGATAAATATGAAAAAAATTAAGAAACTACTAACTTATTTATAAATTCTTATTTTAAGCTACTAGCTTATTCTGAATATTATCAAAAGGGCTTATAACTTATTAGTAGCTTAAAATAAGCTATAAGCTTCTAAATAAGCTCTGTTAAACAAAGCCATAACATGATTCTCGAATTTGACATTATTTTAGAATTTTTTTTTCTTTTTGCATATGGTCTTTCTAATCAGATTTATGAGCTCTTACACATGAACAAGGTTACCTAGTGCATATTCTTGGGTAGTACTACAAGTTTCTCTCGTCACTTAAAATTAAAAATAAATACAGAAAAATACAACTTGTAAGGTACATGATACAACTTTGTAAGATATATAATTATACACCTTTGTAACTCATAATACTGTAAAATTTTAAATTATTTAAGTACTGTTATAAATGAATTTCATATTTGATGAAATTATATACTCTCATTTTAATATTACTATTAAAGTATGTATTGTAATAATTCAATTAGTCCGCTTAACCAAAAAAAAATAATAATAAAAACGATTAGATCATTAAATTTTATAAAAAGTATAATTAGAATCTTAAACTTGTAAAAAAATGTGTAATTAGTACTTTCAGCAAGTTACCATCTAGACATGCAATGTGGCTTTTTTAGATAATTGGATATTCAGTTGTCTATTTTTAGAATTGATACGATATAACAACAACAATAATATGTTTTGATATTTAAATTAAAAAAAAAAAAAAGAAAAAAAAAAAAGAAAAAAAAAGAGAGAGAGCTCGGATGCTATATTGCTATTTGCTAGTGATGACCTTGCTCCTTCACCATCATCCTCTTTCTAATTAAATTTAAAAAATAAAAATAAAAATTGGGCAAATAGATGTTCTTCCCCCATGCATATCTAAATTGCCTTTATTTGGATCAGACAAAGATGACTTGATCTTCGTTCAAGAAATGGCGAAGATGAAAAATCTTATCTTCGACTACGATAGAAGTCAAGTTTCTTTTCTTTTTCTTTTTTTTTCTTTCTTTTTTTTTTTTTACTTTTTTTTTTAAGTATCAAAACATTATTTTTATTATTATCATTATTATTTATTGCATCACATCAATTCTAAAAATACTCTACTCATATTTTAAAAAGTCACGTAACATGTTTAATCAACAATTATTTGATGTTAACATGTTAGAAATATTAACTGCACTTTTTTACAAGTTAAATAATTTAATTAATTTTTTTGAGATCATAAGCTAATTACACTATTGCTATTAATTGACCATTTGTATATACAATGTTGTATAAAGATTGTTCGCATGGGTAGCTGATCAACTGGTCATAGAGATGAAAGTTTGGAAGAATGACCAGGGATTGAGTCTCATCAGCCACAGTGAGGGGGGCTCCGGGACTCCTTGTGCGCAGTAAGCAAAGGATTTATATCCTCTCAAATGCTCTGTCGGGCCGGGACTCCTTGTGCGCAGTAAGCAAAGGATTTATATCTTCTCAAATGCTCTGTCGGGCCGGGATTGAGGTTCGCGACATGCATTAATCATTGTGTCCGACGATGAAAATCTTGAGTACACCCAAATAAAATAAAGATTAATGGGCAGAGAAACGTGGAACATGGGTGATATAGAATTCACTTAAATTTGTTGTGATTAATTTGTCATTTAGCCTCTTTGGTATGAGTGTGAAAACATGTCATGTATTTCGGCGGAAATTATTTGTACCAGTTCCCAAAACCAAACATTTTTGAATTTTCTTCTTTCAGCTGGTACAAATTTTGACCTAAGATTTTCGGACTTTCGTTTCAATTTTCGACTCCTCACCAAATATCAATAAATATCATACCACTCTTAGCTAGATCTGATTCTTGTCTTTTATTTTTATTTATTTATTTTAGTTTGGTAGGTTAATATTGAATTCAAATATAATATAGAAAAAATCACTATTTTGGTTCTTCAATTGAGGACTAATGTCCAAAGTGTGCTGGAGTTCTCTTTTGCACAAAGAAATTGTATCAGACTCATTGAGAAGCACAATATATATTGAAAGCAAAGCGCAAAGATCTTTTGGCACAGAAGTGTTGATAGCAATAACAAATTATTCCACAATTCGGTCGGAAAGAGAAGAAGAGATAATGATATTCTGAGACTGCATGACTCCTCTGGAAATTGGACTGAGAGGGGACCTGATTTTAACAATCTAATCCGGGATTATTTTACTAATCTCTTCAAATCAACTATTGGGGATTTGCAGCCTGTTCTCCAATGCATCAACCCCAGAGTTTTTAATCTCCATAACAACAGTCTCCTTCGTGATTTCACAAGGCAAGAGGTGAAGGACGCAACATTTAGCATGCATCCTGTCAAGAACCTGAGATATGATGGCTTAAACCCAAATTTTTACCAAACCTACTGGGATATTTTAGAAAAAAACTTAATTATTTAATCTCTACAACAATTTTCACTAGTACAAAAACAGTCATTCGCGTCCAAAGTTAAGGTTAAAAGGCGTCCAAAGTTGCTTGGACGCAGATGTAGGAGACGCTAATTGTATATACAATTAGCGTCCAAAGTAACTTTGGACACGAAAAATGATAATTCGCGTCCAAAGTTGAAGAACTTTGGACGCGTATAGTATTTTTTATTAAAAAAATAAACACTATACGCGTCCAAAGTTCATGAACTTTGGACGCGTATAGTGTTTGTATTTTAAAAAAAATACTATACACATACAAAGTTCATGAACTTTGTATGCGTACAGCGTATTATATTTTTTTTTTATATATTTTAGATAAAAAATTGAAATCAACACTAATAAGAACCCAGTAGAAAAAAGGTGAAAAGGAAAAAAATGTGAGATAAATAGATACTTTTCCATACAAAAGTTTCACCAGTATTTAATGCTTATTTGAAATATAGGTGTGCTACGATCCACTACTATTCTTGCAACCCTTAAAATGCTCTAAAAGATAATGTCCCAAATCACAAAACACCCACCCCTCCAGTCACATAAAAGGAATCACTTCGATGACAGAAGATTTATTACAAGCTCTAGAAATAACAATTAATTTTATTGAGAATGAAATTGCATGGCCTATAAATAAAACATTGATGTCTTCACTGTAAAAGCACAAAATTGTCCAATGAAATGCAAAAAAAAAAAGAGCAAACCTTGGCCTGTAAAAAACAGAGAAAAGAGTCCTAGTATTTATGGCATGCGATGCAGTAGCAAGAACTCCCAGATGCATACTGTGACTTGATATAACAGAAGATGGCATATTGTTCAGCTGTCTCATTAGCCTTCTGACTCCAACTCATTACATCATTTTCTCTTCAGAATGACACTACAACTATTCCAAGGTTTATCAAACAAAAGAAAGTCTTACCGTGACTTTTTCAGCATATAATGGATTGCCAGCAAGGGTTCTGATTCTACCATTTGTTTGTGGTATGCTTTCTGTTAGTGAACCGTTAGATTTCTAGGATGAACCATTAGCACTCTGGGATGAAAGAAAACATAAGTTTATACTAAATAACCTTCAATATAAATTACACCTAAATAGGTCACATATTCCATTCTCAAAACAAGCTAAAAAAAAATTAGAAACAATATAATAAAGTTCGGAGACATGCTTCTATTACACAAACTCAAACAATCAAATGAAAAAAAAAATATTCCGAATATCCTATCAGCTAGACAATAAGCGAAAATAATACAGTTCAAACAGCTCCAACATTTCGAAACAAACCTAAGAAACATGGAGCCTTCCTCTATCGCCGTCGAAATGATGAGTGTATGGCTTTCCTAGTTTCAATTCAACTCCTGGACGAAAATTCAGAGAGATTAATGCTTTAAAATGCAACATTTCTATTTTGTACATACATTTCTTATCAAATGGAATCGAATTGACTTAGGTAGAATAGATACCAAATTAAAAGAAACAGCAAAAACAAAAAACTGACCCCATAACCCTCAATAAGATTCTTAAACTATTGTTAGAATAAGAGCCTATTTTCCAACAAAGTCAGAAGTACAAATCACAGATCTACCGAATTGAACTTTAGCTTCTAGCATTCTAAGCTACCAAAAGCCTCACGAAACCAAATCATGTAATATAGAACCCTATCATTTCAGCAGTCTGTATTCCGAATCTATGAACAAAAGTTGAGCTAAAATTCAAGAAAATATGAAATTATCATTCTAGGGTTTTAGTTAATGAGAATTCAACAGAGGTTGGAGAGAACTTACCTCTTCTAAATATAAATACGTACGTACCTAGCTTGCAGTGACTGGTGAGGGGGCAGCGACGACTGGCGAGGGGCTATGCGACCGGCGAGGGGAGACTGCAGCGACGATGGCAAGGGGCGAGAGGTTGTACGACCGGCAGCGACGGCAGTGACGACGGGGCGAGGTTGCAACTT